CCTGTGGTGCATTGGGTAATACATGATTTTAAAATGTTATTTCTTGCAATCTCATCTGATTTCTTTAAAATTGTAACAAAGGACATTGCTTGCTTTCTGCTTTAAGAACTCTTGCTGTCTAACTCTGCAGTGAATGGAAAGTGGCTCATCTTTCTTTTCCTTTTAGCTGCTTTAGTAGCATTGTGTAAAACATACCTGTATGTACTTAAGTTGTAAGTCACTGTGTGTAGTGACTTCTGTTATGATTTTAGTAGCATATTTCTCATACTGTAGAGTGGGGTGCCTAAGTAGTTGTGACTCATTGAGACAAATGTGTTTCTATCAAAATGGAAAACTGCTGCTGCTGCTAATTCTTACCTTCTGACTCAGAACTGGTAAGCAGGTCCATGGAACTGGAGCATAGAGGCCCGTATGGAACAGGTGAGACCAGAAAAGCTGTTAGGGACAAAGTCATGAAGAAGTTTATGCCCTAATTAGTTAAGCATTTATACTTTTAGTCAGTCAGTTCAGTCACTCAGTCGTATCCGACTCTGCAACCTGATGGACGGTGGCACGCCGGGTTTCCCTGTCCATCACCGACTCCTGGAGTTTACTCAAACTCGTCCATAGAGTGAGTGATGCCATCCAACCATCTCATCCTCTGTCATCCCCTTCTCCTGCCTTCATTCTTTCCCAGCATCAGGGACTTTTCAAATGAGTCAGTTTTTCACATCCAGTGGCCAAAGTGTTGGAGTTTCAGCTTCAGCATCACTCCTTCCAGTGAACACCCAGGACTGATCTCCTTTAGGATGGACTGGTTGGATCTTCTTGCAGTCCAAGGGACTCTCAAGAGTCTTCTCCAACACCACAGTTCAAAAGCATCAATTCTTTGGTGCTCAGCTTTCTTTATAGTCCAGCTCTCACATCCATACAAGACTACTGGAAAAACCATAGCTTTGACTAGATGTACCTTTGTTGACAAAGTAATGTCTCTGCTTTTTAATATGCTATCTAGGTTGGTTATAGCTTTTCTTCCAAGGAGCAAGCATGTTTTAATTTCATGGCTGCAGTCACTATCTGCAGTGATTTTGGAGCTCCCCAAAATAAAATCTGTCACTGTTTCCACTGTTTCCCCATCTATTTGCCATGAAGTGATGGGACTGGATGCTATGATCTTAGTTTTATGAATGTTGAGTTTTAGGCCAACTTTTTCACTCTCCCTTTCACTTTCATCAAGTTCTTTGCTTTCTGCCATGAGGGTGGTGTCATCTGCATATCTGAGGTTATTGATATTTCTCCTGAAAATCTTGATTCCAGCTTGTGTAAAGGAGCAATTTTAGATCTTAAATAAATAGCAAAATTATCAATTTGCTTAAATCTATTTAAACACTGCTACTTAACTTTAGTACATTGATTTGAGATCTCTTCTGTTTTTCTTATGAAAAGCTAGCAAAACGGACTAATAAGAGCAATTGTTTTTGTTTTCTAACCTAGAAGTAGATGTACTGTCAGTATCTGGCTTTCAGGAGACGAGAACTCTGGCTGTGAGGAAAGGAAATAAAGTCCTTAAAACAGGATACAGAAAAACAAAACTACACTAGCTCTGTTATGAATTGTCACTAAATTAGTTTTCCTCATTTCTTAATTTTGGTTCTGAAAAATATGCTGATTCATTATAATTAAAGGTGATAGAGCAGTAGAAATGGAAATGCTAAGACCTAAAAATGAAGGAGACCTCATGATTAGTTTTGCTACAGAGAGTGTGAAACTGTTCTTAAAATGATTTTCCTGCAGAATACAGCTTCCAAGTTTGATACATTTATCTAAGTACTGTGTCAGTCTTCAGAGGGGTCACTGGGATTTCAGGTGAAAAGCTCAGATGTCTTTTGTTTGCTCAGGAGAAGAGAAGCAGGGTTAAGGGCTGGGTCAGTAACTGCTTGAGAGTGTAGTGGCACCTTCATTCTCTCTGAGGCACTGAAGGGGACATACAGGTTGGCTGTTGTGATGTAGGAAGGTGGCTGCCACTGAGTCCCATTCAGTTCAACACATAGCTTAGCTCAGGCTCCTCTGACAATCAGATCTGGATTATGGGATCAATAATTGTATTTAATGAGAAAGTCATTCTTCCCTTTTATCCAGAAGCATAATATACATAAATCTGAGTCTTTAAGATTAATGTTATTAATTAATGTATACTTAAGCACAATTCTTTAAGATTAATTTTATTAATTAATGTATAATTAATCAAATTGTGCATAAATTAAGAATAATATATCTTATATATGCAAATATACATAATATGCATAAATTATATAATTAAGCATAATATACATAAATCTGCCTCTTTAAGATTAATGTTAATATTAATATTACTGATATATCATTTGAGCCTCAAACAGATCTTTGCAAAATGCATAGCAGTGATTGCATCTCACTGACATTGTAGCCCAGGCCCGAGAAGCCACACTCGTGGCCTGTACCCCAGACCCACTGGAGAGTGCACCCCTGTTCCCCACCAAGCACTGAAGGGTCTTCCTGTGGGCAGCGGGGCAGCCCAGTTACTCACCTATACCAACAGGTAACAGACTCTCCTATGTGATATCAATCCCTTTGAGTTGCCTTGGAAAAGAGACTTCATAGCCAGAGTGCCCCTGACATAAATATTGAATTGTGTGCGCCAGAAGTTCTCTGTAAATTCTGGAATTATCCATGATTATTTTCATTATATTTTTAGTAATTCCCAAATTTTCTAGTGACTGTATATATATTTTTTTAATCAGAAAAGTATTCTTAGATATTCAAGCTTTGAGTTGGTACTCTCAACAGGCATAATCCTCTGTTGAGACACATCCAGCTCCCCTTCCTCATCTGTGGGAGCAGAGACTGCTTCTCTCCTGGGCTGGGCTTTGGAACCTGGAACCTTGAAAAAGGATCCACTTTCTTTTTGTGCTCCTTCTCGTCTCTTTGAAAGGGGACATCACACCTGATTGCCTGAGGTCTGTTTCTTCCTTCACGCTGGCACTGTCCAGGAGAGGTCCTGACAGAACGTGGAAGATCTGAGCTGCCTCCCCGGGACCACTACTGGGAGCACTGCTTGTGTGGATGAATTGCTCACTGTCAGACCTGCCCTGGGCTTCAGGTCAAGCCAGGTTGTCCCAGGAATTACAGGACAAAAATATTTCTTGTAATCAGGTAAAGACAGGAGATAGATGTGAGTTTAAGCTTCTGGGAAGAGGCAAGGTCCTTGCTCCATGGCTCAACAGTTTAAAAAAAAAAAAAAGCTTGTTAAAGACCATGTTGAATAAGAAGTTTGAAACTCTTGAGCAGGTCAGAAGAAAAGGAATATGCAGAATTTGCCTGCTTGTCACCATGAAAACTGTGGACCTGCTCTTATGGTTTTCTGGCACGAACTTAATATTCATAGTGAGTTTTCAAAGTAAATATGATTTATTAAAGTAAAAAGAATTAGTAATAAATGATTCAGATCTCTATTATAAAGGGTTAATTGCCTCACATTTCTGTAAAATTAATCTGCTTTCCTATTTATTTAAAATATTCTCATTTTTGATGGTTTTAATAACTCCAAACAGATAATACAGTGTTTATAGAACAGAGAAGGCAGTTAGCTTATAAAACACTGCTTATGTGCAGATCCATGTCTAGTGTTTGACATGTAGCCTGAGAAGAAGGCTGATGATGGGATTTGTCAGGCTGCACTTTGCGGTGGTCTTAGTAGAGGAGAGGCTGCATCTAGTGGATAACATTGAGACTGAGATCCAGATGCTGTGTTCAGATCCCAGCGGCAGTGCTTAGACTCTATGTAATCTTGGAGAAATTTCTAATCATTCTACACACCTTGTTTTCTCATCTGTAAAATGGAGATTACATCTGACTGACCCTTGCAGTTCTGAAGGTAGAGCCACCTGCATCGCTGATAAAGTGCACGACACACGGGATGCGCTTCGTGAAGTAGCTGCTGCTGCTCCCCCCTGCGACCTCGTTTTTCCTCATCTATACAGCAGCTCGCTAGATGAACACTGCCTTAGCCCTACTTGGGGAGACTGAGGATTAAAGACGGTAGGCAACTAACCTACAGTTGCTCACTTTATCTGAATCCAGTGTCTCCATCCTTTCATTCTGTATCTTTTCTGCTCTTGTGCATCATGAATGCATGAAAATGCTTAAGTCCCTTCCCCTGCTGCTGGGTTAACATTGCTGTCCCTCTGGCAGTTGTGGAGGAAAAACACAATTCTTCAAATGTAGATGCAGGTAAAAAACTGGGAAAAACAGTAACAGAGGGCTCCCTTGGGTTACCCAGCCAGAAGGGCCCCCAGGAGCCGCTGTCCAAAGTTTAAGCTTCTTCTTCAGCCCTCAGATGAAAGGTTTTGCTTGGAGTTTGTTTTATAATTTGTGTCAGTACAAGATTTTATTAAAGATTCGGTCTACTAATTTAACCTTGTCATGTAAACGTTTGTAGGGTGGTTTTACCTGGGATAGTGTGGTAGGATGCCCTGCATACCAGGGTATAGGGATACATTCCAAAAAAGGCTGATACAAGGATTCCCAAACAAATAATGACTGTTTCTACAGTATATTTTTTAAAGCATGAAGAATAAGAGTAAATAAATGATTGTTAGGGTTTAAAAGAGAACAAGCTTGGCTTAAAATGTCTGATTTTGACTTCTCATTCTGCAACGGCTACTTGGATGGTCTGGTTATTGACCAGCCTTTATTAGTGTCTTACATGGTGGCCTTCACTGTATTTTCCTCTTATATATCGCATGAACTTCTGACTTCCAGATCAAAACTATAGGCTGGTAGTATTAACATATGCTACATTAAATAGAATTCTCAGAACTACCTTGAAAATAGTTAGCATTAATCATTTCTATGAGAACATCCTCCGTTAGTTTCCAGTAACTGATGTATGAGAGAACTTGAAGATGATCCGCTTGTCTTTTGGAAACTGCCTGTTTATTTTTCTTATTTTATAAACTCACCTGTAAAGCAATTACGTTTGCATGGACTTGAGTGGAGTTGACCTTTACTTTGAAGCTCAGGATTATGTTATGACTCCCTATGCGGATTTGAGAACTCATGAAGAAATTGACAACGACTTTTTTTTGGCCATGCCACACAGTTTGTAGGATCTTAAGTTTCATGACCAAGGATTGACTTTCAGCACCTAGGGGGTAATGAAAGTGCTGAATTCTAACTACTGGATTGGCAGTAAAGTCCTGACAATAGCTTTTTGTCTCTAACATTAATTTTGGACTTACAATATGTCATGTGGTTTGTAACACTTTACTACACACATCGTTAATTTAACAATAATTTTATGGTGGTATCCTTACTGTTCTTTCATGGTCCCTCTGTAATCCAGCCACTTTCAGAAGCCTCAGGGCACATAGCTCTGGAAAAAAGTGCAATACTTAAGTCAAGGCTCCTCTGCCCTTGTCCTGTTCTCCTCTGACTTCACACCATGTTCATTCCATGGCTCACGATTGTACAAGAGCACTGGTTTCTTTTCTCTTCCTTGTGCAACTGTTGGCCCTTTCCTATCTTAGAAACTTTGCACCAGTTACTTTCCTGTGGAAGCATGACCCCCAGAGCTCTGCATGACTGACCACCTTTCCTCACCCTTGCCTCAGTTCTGAGTGACTGTTCACACCAGCTTAAATCAGAGAGTCTCCTGCCTGACCCTCCTCTGTCCCATTACCATATTTTCTTCGATTGAAAACATTTGTCACAAACTTAAATCATTAACTTATGTCTGTTCTTACTGACCTGTTGTCTCCTATATTATGCACTGTAAGTTCCATGACTGCAGAATTTCTTGCTGTGGTTCACTGTATTGGAAAAAGTACTTGGCATATGTTAAGCCTGCACATATTTGCGGAATGATTGACTAGACACAGTTTAGAAAGGTTACAGACTGTGTGTATCTATCATCCTGGAGCCGGTGAAGAGGGAACACTATGAGTTCAAACCCACTCTCCTCCAAGATAGAATATCAAATGCCTGATTGACAACTGGAACAAAACTGTGCAAGTTATAATGTAATAGATTTGCCACATTGGTTTTATTTTCTCACCCTTTTGCAAGGAAGAAACACCATGTTTGGGTTGCTCTTGCACCTCTTACCTCCAAGGTATGTGTTTCTGTGACAGTTATGCTCTGGGCCAGTGTTTCCAGCCTGTGTTGAGGGTTGGGCTTTCTTACCTGTGCTGTTCTGCATGACTGCTAACTGGCAGGAGGGTGCTCCACACAGGGTCCTTGGGCATCGGGCTCCAGGGTGATGTGTGTGCCCACAGTTATACCAGAAAGAGCGAAGTTTTACTACTCCATGAAAATACTGCTAATTGTAGTAGTTTATAAGTCTAACATTCAAAGTCATTTAAAATCATTTAAGGAAAGGTGAAAGACATTTGGGTATCAAGATGGGATGGAAATATGTACTCCAGGAACACAAAGTAGAAAAATTATAAATTATCACAAGATAGCTTGTAAGAATTGTTGCAAATATGTTAAGGTGATAATAGGATTTTTCTCTTTCTCCTCAGACTAAACAACAAAACAAAGCTTCGGGGGTTTCCCTTGTGGCTCAGTGGTAAAGAATGCACCTGCCAGTGCAGGAGACATGGATTTGGTCATGCTTTGGGAAGATCCCCTGGGGAAGGAAGTGGAATCCCATTCTAGTATTCTTGCCTGGGAAATCCTAGGGAGAGACGAACCTGGCAGGCTACAGTCCAGGAGGTCAAAACAGAGTTGGACATGACTTTCCAACTAAGAAACAAACAACAACAACATATACCACACTTTCTTAAGCTAGTCATACATTAATGGGCATTTGGATTGTTTCCATGACTCAGTTCAGTTCAGTCGCTCAGTCGTGTCTGACACTTTGCGACCCCATGGACTGCAGCATGCCAGGCCTCCCTGTCCATCACCAACTACTGGGGTTTACTCAAATTCATGCCCATTGAGTCGGTGATGCCATCCAACCATCTCATCCTCTGTCGTCCCCTTCTCCTCCCACCTTCAATCTTTCCCAGCATCAGGGTCTTTTCAAATGAGTCAGTTCTTCACATCAGGTGGCCAAAGTATTGAAGTTTCAGCTTCAGCATCAGTCCTTCCAATGAACATTCAGAATTTATTTCCTTTAGGATGGACTTGTTGGATCTCCTTGCAGTCCAAGGGACTCTCAAGAGTCTTCTCCAACACCACAGTTCAAAAGCATCAATCCTTCAGTGCTCAGCTTTCTTTATGGTCCAACTCTCACATCCATACATGACTACTGGAAAAACCATAGCTTTGACTAGACGGACCTTTGTTGGCAAAGTAATGAGATATATTACCTTAATGAGAGTAATGAGAGATATATTACCTTAATAATGAGAGATATATTACCTTAATAATTTTTCTGATCCCCCCCAAAATTTCTCGAAGGGGTACATTGAACCCATACGGGCTCAACCAGCTCTTGCCGGCAGAGGGGCAAGAGGAGAAAAACAGTAAAGATTTCATATTTTTGGGTGTCCATTATTTTGTATGAATGTGCATAAATGTTGTATAATTCATGTGTAAGCATACATAAAGCAAAAACCCTCCTGTAGTTAAAACATGAAGATAGTCTTGCTACTTGGAACCTGTACTGAAAATGTTTATATGTGCCATTGTGGTAGCTTTATAGTATAATTTGTCCTTTTTATAGTTATGATTGTATTTTATATACACTTTTTGGTTTGTTTTTATTTCACACCTTAAGTACAGGTCTGATATTCAGATTCAAATTATCAACATATCAACTCGGAGAAGACAAAGGGTAGCTGGAATATTTTTATTTTTATTTTCTAAAATTTATTGAAGTATAGTTGATTCACAATGTTCTGTTAATTTTTGCTGTACAGCAAAGTGATTCAGTTATACATGTATATATGTGAATTTTCATATTATTTTCCATGTGGTTTCTTAATAGGATATTGAACATAGTTCCCTGTGCTGTGCTATATACAGTAGGACCTTGCTGTTTATCCATCCTGTATGTAGCAGTCTGTGTCTGCTCATCTCAAATTTCCAATCCATCACTCCCCCTTGGAAACCACAGGTCTGTTCTCCATGTTTGAAACATTTTATCAGGACTTTCTTTGAACTGAGTTCTTTAGGAATCGAATATTTTAATTGGATAGAAGAGGAACATTCTTGACATTTGTTTTCTTTTAAGTCATCAGCAGTATTGTCAAACAAGATTTAAAGCCATTTTAACCTTCTTTATGAAACTTTGGGACAAATTAAAACCAGTACATAAATATTGCATTAATTCATCCAGAGGCTATTAGGCATTATGATTAAAATAAAGACATCTTACTTATGACCTGGTCTCAAGCAGTTTATAATAAGTTTGGTTGGAAATGATAAAACTGGTTAAAAAATTCCAGTTTCTAAAATAAGGCTTAAATAATCTATCCACAGTAATGAGAAGGCATACTAGAATTTGCATTTATTGATAAATGAATGAAAGCATTTGAGTCTGAAATAGGAAAAGTTTTCTTTAAAGAGGAGCGATTCTTTTAAGAGATGAACAGAGAGAGTATGCCATGTCTCTGGTTGGCAGATGATATAATGGGAGCAGAGACGCCTGGAAGCAGAAAGTGCAGCTGCAGACTGGCTCCTGTGATGCTCCCCAGAGGGCATCTGGGCTCTGCGTTGCTGTGTGGCAATGAATATTATCTTTACTGTCTATCAGAGCCTATTAGAGATATTAGAACCTGAGGTTAGAACACATTAGAACACATTCCTAACACATTTATTATACCTATCCTCTTATAAAGAATTCAGTGGACAGGTATTTTTATGTGAGGTGCTAAGCCAGGAGTGTCCTCATCCTTGGTAGCAAGTAAACTATTCGGTGATGTTCATAGTGTCCCACTTTGAGATATTATGCATGGTAATGGAATCAGATTTTACATTACTGTGAACATGTAGCCTTCCATAGAAATCTTACTCATTTTCACAACTTAAAATATTTATTCTGTTCCCTTTAAAACTACATTTATTATTTTCTTTCTTAATAATTGAATTTTAAGTAAAAAGTTGATACCGTGCATGGGTGCAAGAAACATTATTTTTATTTTGGTTTTGAAACTAACTTCCGTAATTTGTGATTTTATCAAATGTAAAATGTGTATGTAAATTAGGGTTTTAGTACCTGGAGTTGTTATAAAACCTAGGGGTTTTATTTTCTTTGCTGTGTGGATGGAGAAGTCTTGAGGCTACTGTACAAAGGGGGACTGAAACCCAGATTCAGGAGACTCAACTCCAGAACTTTAGAACCTCAGAGAACTCCTGACTCCAGGGAAAATTAATAGACAAGAGCCCACCAAAAAGTTTCCATACCTACACTGAAATCAAGCTCCAAGCAAGAGCCAGCAAATTCCAGTGCAAGAGACACCACAGTAATTCTTCAGAAAAACAAGAAAGCAAGCCTGAACATTTAAAGATGGACTGCCCAAAGCCATAGCAAACCCATAGACACCCCAAAACTCACTACAAGACAATTCACTGCATTCCAGAGGGAAGAGATCCATCTCCACCCAGCAGAAGACAGACAAAACTTCCCTCAACCGGGAAACCCTGACAGGCCGCTGGTCCAACCCCGCCCACAGGGAGCAGACTCTACAATTCAGAGGAACCATGGCCTCCCAGCCTGCAGAAAGGGCACCCAAAACAGTGATCTAAACAAAATGAAAAGGCAGCGAAATATCCAGCAGGTGAACGAACATGATAAAAACCCACCAAACCAAACAAAATAAGAGATACGGAGTCTGCCTAAAAAAGAATTCAGAATAATGATAGTAAAGATGACCTAAAATCTTGAAAACAAAATGGAGTTACAGATAAATAGACTAGAGACGTGGATTGAGAAGATGCAAGAAATGTTTAACAAGGACCTAGAAGAAATAAAGGCGAGTCAATCAATAATGAACAGTGCAATAACTGAGGTTAAAAACACACTGGAGGACAAGGAACTGCTGGGAGCCTCAGGACCAGGGCATTGAGCACTACTCAGGCCAGTGAGGACATGCCCCTAAGAAGACTCCCATCAATCGCAAGGTGGGATGTTCACCAGGAGGCAGCTGTGCTGTGACAGGTAGATCAGAGGACTGAGAATCCTGGTCCCCTGGGCATTTCTGGACCCATTTGGCATATACTGCTGTTGATGTTACGACCTGCTGGGACCGTGGACTGATGGTGGCCGTTCCCTCTGAGAGTGCCACAGTAACCGTTAAGGGAGGTCCCTGCTTCGTCACACTTCTCCAAGCAGATCCTTGAGTCAATGACACAATAAAATACCTAGAAGACATAAACTGTGACAATAATTTCTTACATCAGTCAATATTTTCTTTAGAGCAGGGCAAAAGAAATAAAAACAAAAATAAACAAATGGTACCTAATTGAATTTAAAAGCTTTTGCAAAGCAAAGAAAACCATCAACAAAACACAAAAGACAATCTATGGAATGGGAGAAAATATTTGCAATGGCATGACCAACACGGGATTAATATCCAAAATATTTATGCAACTCAATATCAAGAAAATAATCTAATCAAAAATGGGCAGAAAGCCTTTACACTCTTCTTTGTTTCTACAGAAAAGAATAGAAACCTCAGAGTGTGCCACACACTGGCAGATACCAACAAACCAGTCATGGCGCCTGGCTCTCCTGAATCTCATTTGACATCAGATGACAAGGACTCCAAGGATCAGACAGTAGTGATAAAACCATTGCCCCTTCCAACATTAATCATTGCTCCTGATGGTGAATTTCACCCAAACTCCAGTGATACTGGTAAGGTCTATGGAACAAACTGTTTTATGGGTGTAGCCGCTAATCTCAAATTTGTATCTGAGTTAATGATAATGTGATGTTGGGTGTTAGCTTGGGAGTCAGAATACTTGTAATTTTTACACCTATCACTTTATAAAAATGTTTTTGTTTTCTTTGCCCAGTAGGCTGCTCACCTGAAAAATGAGGATTTGCAATGGATGATCTCTCAAATCTTTTCTAAAAGTGAAAGTCTGTTATTCTATTTTTTTTTTCTTTTTTAGATTCTATTCCCATGCAGATCATTGTAGAGTATTGAATAGAGTTTCTTGTGCTACACAGTAGGTTCATTAGTTATCTGTTTTATATGTAGTAGTGCATATATGTCAATCTCAATCTCCCAAATTATCCATCCCCCATTCCCTGCTTGATATCCCTGTTTGTTTTCTATATCTGTGACTCAATTTACGTTTTGTTAATAGGATCATTTTTACTATTTTTTTTTCAATTCCTCATATTAGCAATATAATGTGGTATTTGTTTTTGTCTGAGTTACTTCCCTCAGTATAACAATTGTTAGATTTATCCATGTTGCTACAAACGGCATTATTGCATTCTTTTTTATACCTGAATAATTATCACTGTATATATGTGCCACCTCTTTATCAATTCCTTCATGGATTGATATTTAGTATTGCAAGTAGTGCTGCAATGAACCTTGGAGGTGCGTGTATCCTTTTGAATTATGTTTTTTTCTGGATATATGCTCAAGAGTGGGACTACTGGATTATATGGTAGCTCTATTTTCAGTCTTTAAGGAATTTCCATAGTGTTCTTCATAGTGGCTGTACCAATTTACATTCCTGCCAACAATGTAGAAGGATTCCCTTTTCTCTATACCCTCTCCAGCATTAAATATTTGTTGGTTTTTTGAAGATGGCCATTTTAACTGGTGTGAGGTGATACCTTATTCTAGTTTTGATTTTCATTTGGCTAATAATTAGTGATATTGACCATCTTTTCATGTGCCTCTTGGCCATTTATATGTCTTCTTTGGAGAAATGTCTATTTAGATCTATTTGTTATTTTACTGGGTTGTTTGTTTGTTTTTATATTGAGCTGCATGTGCTTTTTGTATATCTTGGAGATATGTCCCTTGTTGGTTGCTTCATTTGCAAATATCTTCTCCCATTCAGTGAGCTGTCTTTTCTTTTTGCTTATGGTTTTCTTTACTGTGCAAAAGTTTTTAAGTGTAGTTAGGTTTCATTTGTTTATTTTGGTTTTTATTTTCATTACTCTTGAAGCTGGATCAAAAAATATATTGCTATGTCAGAGAGTGTTCTGCCTATGCTTTTCTCTAAAAGTTTTTTTTCAACATAGTTCTGAAAATCTTAGCCACAGCAATCAAAGACGAAAAAGGAGGAAAAAGAATCCAAATTAGAAAAGAAGTAAAACTGTCAATTTTTGCTGATGACATAATACTATAGAAAGAAAATCCTAAAGGTGAAACTATTAAAATTCATGAGTGAATTCAGTAAAACTGCAAGATACGAAATTAATACAGAGAAATCTCTCTCATTTCTACATATTAACAATGAAAAATCAGACAGAGAATTAAGGGAACAATACCATTTACCATCACATCAAAGGGAATAGAATGCCTTTGAATAAACTTACCTAAGGAGACAAAATACCTGTACTCTGAAAACTATAATATAATTATGACAGAAATTAAAGATGACACAACAGATAGAAAGATATAACGTGTTCTTGGGTTGGAAGAATCAATATTGGCAAAATGACTACTGAAGGCAATCTTCAGATTCAAAGCAACCCCTATCAAATTACCAATAGCATTTTCACAGAATTAGAATGAAAAGTTTCTCAATTTGTATGGAGACATAAAAGACTCCAAATGGCCAAGGACAATCTTGAGAAAGAAAAAGAGATTCTTCCAGAATCTGTTCCCTGACTTCAGACTATAGTGTTGTATTTGTTCAGTCACTATGTCTTCTCTGACTTGTTTGCAACCCTATGAACTGTAGCCAGCCAGGATCCTGTATCCATGGGATTTCCCAGGCAAGAATATTGGAGTGAGTTGCCATTTCCTTCTCCATGGGATCTTCTGAACCAAGGATCGAACCCATGTCTCCTGCATTGGCAAGCAGATTCTTTACCACTGAGCCACCAGGGAAGCCCTCATACATAGTACAAAGCTACAAATGAAAACACTAAGTTACTGTAACAAAAACAGAAATATAGATCAATGGAACTGGATAAAAAGCCCAGAGATAAATCCACATACCTGTGGTCATTTAATCATTTAATCTGTGACAAAGAAGGCAAGAATATACAATGGAGAAAAGATAGACTCTTCAGTAAGGGGTGCTGGGAAAGTTGAACAGTTACAAGTAAAAGAATGAAGTTAGAACACCACACACACAAATAAACTCAAAATTGATTAAATACCTTAAATTAAGGTCAGATACTAGAAATTCCGCTTTTCCAAATTTGTGGGTTATCAACAAGAATATAGCTATTTTGACCTATGAGTGTATTGGTCAAAAAAATGGGATCCTTGAGATAGACACTAATTTAAAATAATTTAAAAGCTATTTATTTCGCATGGGAATTCATGATGAAAAGACTGAAGAAACAAGGTTTGGAAAGGTAGAAATATATCAGGGTGTGAAGTTAGAAGTACAGTGTCTACCAGCTGTTCTCACTTCTGACACCAGTTTCAAGATATGTTCCCTAAAATTTTTTTTTATAATTGGCTACAAGAATTCAGAACTCACTGAAAGCTATTATGCTCAAGATTATGGTTTTTTACAGTGAAAAAAAAATGCAGATTAAAGTCAGTCAATGGAAAAGATTTATGATGAAGTGTCCAAGGAACTTCTAAGCATGTAGCTCCCATTTGTTCTCTCCTAATGTAGTCATTTATTCTGGGGGACTACAAAATCACTGCAGATGGTGATTGCAGCCATGAAATTAAAAGACGCTTACTCCTTGGAAGGAAAGTTATGACCNGTCAGTTCCACATAGCTGACCTCAGTCTCCGGGCCCACTGGGGTCAAGTTGATACCACATGACTCAATAGTAAATGACATTGCTGGACTTTCTACTTTGGCCACAGACCAAAGACATCCTGTCCTCATCAGACAGGACATTCTAAGGGATTAGCTATTACCCACCAGGGCTAAGTGTAAGGCCAGAGCTCTTTTGGGGCAAGGTAAAATTCTCTATTACATACAGCGCCTAAGGATGACAGAGAGGCCAAGTGTGAACACTGTCAGGACTCCATATATATTAGTTTTCTGTTGTCTCTGAACAAATTTATCACTGTAAAAGAATAAAATTCATTATCTCACAGTTCTGTACACTAGAAGTTTTGGTTGGCACAGTTGATTTCTCTACTTCAAGTATGGCAAGGCCAAAGTCAAGGTGTTGGCCATCTCAGATTTTAGCCAGAGACTCTAAGAAGCAATACACTTCAAAGACCATTTAGACTGTTGGGAGGACACTGTTCTTTGCAATCACTGGACTGAGGTTCCTGTTCCTTGTTGCCTGCCAACTGGTGTGGCTCTTAGCTCCTGGAAGCCTCTGGTTCTATATCTCGGAGCCAGTTGTGCCTCAGATTCTTCTCATGTTTGGGACTTCTCTGAAGTCTTTCTCTTTCACACACCTTTTCTGCCTACAGCTGAATAAATTTCTCTCCTTTTAAGGGCTTACCTGAATAATCCAAGACAATATTCCTGTTTTAAAGTCCATAACCTTAATTACATCTGCAAAGTCCCATTTTCCCTGCAGTTTAACATATTCTATAAGTTCCAAGGTTTGGGGTATCAATATCTTGGGGGAAATTCATATAATCTCTCATCTCTACAATTCTCTGTGGCTTCATAAGCAAAGAACATGAGCACCAACAGCCTCTAAGCATCAATGTCTATTATATTAATACAAATACCGCAGAGGCCAGGCAGATAATGCTGATGAATGAGATGGGTTGGTGAGAAAGTAGTGAGTGCAGGCTATGAGGAAACTAGAGCAGAGGATGGTAAACTATGGCCAGGTGCAAGCTCAGCTTACTGACCAGTTTCAGTAAATAAACTTGTATTTTCTATGTCTCTTTTTAGTCTATAATGACAGAGATGACATGTCAACCAACACAGACCACATGGTTTACAAAACTGCAAATATTTACTATGTGCCCATTTACAGAAAACATTTGCCAACCCATGAATTATAAGCTGCATACATACCCCATTTGAAGGCCACCTCAGAGTCCCAACCAATGGTTGTGGTGGACAAATGTTCACCCAGTGTTCCCCAATCTCTCTCTTTTTTCAAGAGAAGCTTGAGCTCAAGATTTTTATATGAAAATTTCTAATACGTACGTTAACTAACTTTAAAAAGCTTCCAAAATCCTAGGAAGGCTAATGAGAAAACATCTCCTGGTTGCATTGGCTTTTCCATAGTTTGTGGCTTTTGTTTTATGTAGTTTCAGCCATAAGAGAGAAATGGAATTTAGTCTCAATATCTGAGGAGAGAACTGTATCATGAGCTCTCTTTGCACCAATCAGCTATGACAAGGGGTGTGAATACAATTATTGATTGACTCAATTTGGTTAATTCAGAATCTTCTGCTTTGGCCCAGAGGTAGATTTTTTACAGGTCCTAGGCATGAGAAAGTTCACAACTCCAAACAAACCACCAACAAATAATTTCAAAATAAATATTAAAGTCAATCCCCAAAATAAATGTAAGGAATTTCAACATGATATTTTCTTCTCTGTAATAACTACTTTGAATTTACTAAAACTCTATTTTTTCAAGAAGCAATTCCCCCCACTCTGACTTTTTATTGTTTTTTTCCTGGTTTTCATGCCAGGTTATCCTGCATTTCCTCTATAAAAGAACAATGATTTAATTTATTAAATCTCTGAGAAGAAGAGAAAGGAAAACACCACCCAGGAGCCACACTGTGGCTAAGAAAACAAATGACCCCTGAGCTGGAAAAT